ATGCACATTCAATATGTAGTAAGTTAGTATTATGGTGTAATACTAACTAGCAATGTTGATTTTTTCGTGTAGCTTCTTGTATAGAAAGCTGAAAGGGAGACAGTTGATGAACAAATTTAGATTCATTGATCCCAACTTTATTAGTGAGCAGAGTGGCACAGTCGTGTATCATGCTAATCATGTGATCCTATGCATGAAAAACCGATTGATTATTATTCACTCTCATATAATGCACAGTAAGCTATATTCCAATCTTACTTACTCTAATTTGTTCTATTCTATGATCTGATGCATATTTTGAGTATACATTGTTATTATTTTACAGTCGTCATTAGGTGCTTATTGTGATTGATATTAAATCCTTAACGCCATACTTTTTTAATTCAATTAATCCAATGACGATGTCTAATCCCGATATTCAAACTTTTATAAAGAGGTATTACAATACTTTATTATATTATATATGTTCTATTTCTTCATAAGAAATTTTATTTATGTTCCCACTAATTTTTTTCTTTTCAATTTAGGGTAATATCTGCATTCAATAAGAAGATAAAAAAATTGAAATAAGTGTCATTACCGGTAAATATCAAATTTATTCTTTTAATGCTGAGTTTGTGTAGATAAATATTTTTTAAACTGACTCAATTTAATTTTTAGGTACCTTGTCAATCCGGTAATACTGAATGTGGATATTATGTCATTTATTTTATATGAGAGATAGTGTTACATGATTTTATGACCACACCATTCAGGGTTAGTATAAATTTCATAAACTCGTTATGTATTCAAAAAATAAAATGGTACATTATGTTCTCATTTCTTAACATTTACTTATGATTTTTTTTTAGTAGAAGAGTAAAAAAAGCTTCACAGAAGAGGAGCTGGATGAAGTCCATAAAGAATAGTGTGATTATGTATTATCATTTATCAATGTTGATAAACCTTCAGGTTAGACATTGTTGGTTGAATGTAAATATATATCGAACAAATTGTTATAATATTTTTAACATGCCATGTTGAATGAAAACTTTAAGTTTGTACATTGGGGGTATTGGTTTACTATTATTGCTATACTTAATATGAATACACTATGTGTACTTATTAAATTACTGAGTACGATTATTTTAGAAAAATATATTAATATAACAACGTTATCAGTTTTAATTTCAAATGTGTGGTCAATTTTTTGAAAAACAATAATATTCATTATGCAAATTTCAATTTCATAGTATCAGATATATAAACCAACTATTTTCTGGGCATAAATATACAACTAACAGCAAATATTTTTTTAGGCATAAACCTACAACTGACTTCACATATAAAATATCAATTATGTTTTTTTGATGCAATTAATGAAGGCGTTTTTAGTAAGAACATGCCTTCAATCACCCATAATAGAAAACATTGAAGGTATTTTTTACCAAAATTACCTTCAATAATCCCCCAAAAAAATTATTATCTAGAATATTAAAGGCATTTTGGGCAAAAAATGCCTTCAATAATACCAACTAAAATTTAATCGAATGGATTATGAAAGATGTTTTCCTATAGGTAACGCCTTCAATAATCCCAACAAAATGTTTATGAAAGCATTTTTTGATATAGCCACCTTTAATAATCCGACAATTAAAATTTATCGTTAGGAATATTAAAGGCATTTGGAGCCTAAAACACCTTCAACCATCCTATCCAAGTTTTGTCTATGGAATATTGAAAGTGTTTCTTATAAAACCGTCTTTAAAAATCCAAAAAAAAAATTATTGATTAGATTATAAAAGGCGAGTTCGACCAAAAACGTCTTTAAGAATCGAGTTCATATTTTTGCTATCAATTATTAAAGGCGTCTTTCTATGAAAAATGCCTTCAATATTCTATGAAAATTTTTTAAAACCAATTGATGAAGGTTTTTTTGCCAAGAAAACTCTTAGACTAATCAATAACAAATAATCTGTGCTTAAACAAAAAAAAAACTAAATTAAGGACTGATCGAACCAATAATCTTATGGTAAACATCTGTACGATCCAAACAATTTGATAACCTTAATATTGAAGGAATTTTTACAGAAAATAAAAAAAATTTAATAAGCTTGGAAAATTTTTAGTCTAAATATTAAAGGCATTTCTTCTAGACAATGCCTTCATTAATCTAATACAATTTTTTATGACATGATTATTGAAGTCGTTGTCTATCAAAAATACGTCTTAACTATTCATCGAAACTTTTAATAAAATATATTCAAGGTGTTTTAGTTGAGAAACGCCTTTAATATCAAGTATTGGGTGGCGTTTATAAGTAACAACGTCACTATTTGAATATTTAGTGGCATTTGGATAATAAACGCTTGAAGTTTTATAAAAACACAGAAGCTAGCGACGTTTGTAAGTGAAAGACCACTACAAAACTGTCACTAAAATGCCATTTTGCTGTAGTGCTAGTTCCATAACCAACCTTAACCAATATTTCCCCATAAAGATAGAGATTCCATGAATACTTGCTTATTTTGATAAATAGAAAAATCGAAGCGAATTTAATTTGGTGTTTTCAAAATTTAATCAAAATCATTTGAAATATTATTCAATTATACCTAATTTACTGAAAAATATTAATGTTAATTAATATTTAGTGACCATGGTTAATTTATTTTTAAAGAAATAAATTTACAATTAATGCATTATTTTTTATTAAATTTAATAAAATAATGCATTAAATTAATCTTTTTTAAATAATATATTAATTAACTTTAAATGGTGTTTATAGGAGCTAAATGCTAAATTAAGAATTTAACATTTGCGTGATTTTAAATTAAAAATCTCAACTTTAATTTAGTTCAATATAAGATGTAATGTTTTTGAATACATTCAAATAAAGCCTTTTGTTATGGCTGTGATTTACATGAGTAAATCACTGTTTTGCAATATAATGAACAATAAAAGTAACCCAAAGATTTTACCTTCTCCAGCTTCTCTTTTTAAGCAAACTTTGCCTTTTTCATGTTCTTTTTAATTAAAAAACAAACATTCAGAAAATTAGCCTTTTCCTTCATTGCTCTTGTTACAAATAACCATCGTCGATCTTTGTCTTTCATCAGCAGCATAGCTTCTTGGTGACTAAATTCGAATTTTTAATTCAACTCCTCTTCTATGTTTTTCTCTTTCTAAATCCTCAAATTAGAACCCAACTACAACTTAGAAAATGAAAAGTTCAAGAATCACAAAATCTCACCACCAGAATTTGATGCCCGTTTATTATGCTGTTGATCGATCAACACTTCCTTCCTTTTCTAACTCTGTTTTAAAATCCAAAAATTAACAAAAAAAATCAAACCCAAAAAACCCCTTAATGAGAAATTCTACAAAAGAATCAAACCTAGAAAAACCCTTATTGATGAATTTTAGAATCTTGCTATTGTTATTGCTTCTGTGTATTGGAACTCTTTTGTTGGATCAATTACCCCTTTGAGGCTACTTACTAATAGCTAATCTTGCTGATGAATTCACTTTATTGATTGTCTAATAAAAAAATTTTTCTTAGCCTAAAAAATTTCTTAAAACAATTGATTTACTATGTATTTTTTTTGCTCCTTCAAAAATTAAAAAATTTTGCCTAATTTTTTTTGCTTTTCATCGACTTTTAATCATGAATTGTTACTATCTAACCTCTCTCACTTGTTTGTTCAAAATTAATTATTGTGTTTAATTTTACTTCCTGCGTCCTTATTCATTATCAATTGTTATTGTGCTCAATTTTTATGTTTTTTTATTAGAATTAATGGCTTTAATGAAAAATATTAACGAAAAGTATACTTAATGATGCGTGTAAGTTATAATTATAACTTAGGCCTTAGTTGATCAAATTCGAAAATATTATATGAGTTATGACATTTTTCATATATATTTAAAGGCAAATGATGTGTAATTAAAACATAATTAAAACCAATTAACTTACCATTAATGGAGTTTAATTGAAGCGGTCACTCGTACAAAGCACGTTCAGCGTCTTAGTTTTTCCCAATAATAAATCATAAAGAAAAGTGAGAAAAGTGACAGCCGTCTTGATTTTGTAGAGATCCAAAGTGCTGAGTTTGTGCGACTACATGTAGACTAGTGAAAAGACCACGTTGATGAGTCACCGTCGCACATATAATATATGCAACTTTAGTTATAAATGAGTTTTCTTTTATTCTTTTTGCACTGAATGTGAAATCAAAGTTTGGGATTGGAGCAGGAGTTAGACAAAAATATTTTGTCCTTTTTGACTAGTAGGTACTAGTAATAGTTTTTGACAATAATTTAAAACTATTTGAAAAAGTTGCAAGTAATTTTTTTTATAAAATAAAATATAAAAAATAATACATAATAATAAAAAAAGTAACAATAATTTATTTTTTATATTCTTTTCATCTCATTTTCTGTGTTATTTTTTTGATATGTCAAAATTATATTGAAAATTTTATTTTTTATATTCTAAAGTTATGTTTTATAAAGTTTTTTATTTTTTATATTAAAAATTAAGAAATTTTAATTTTATAAAAAATTAATTTTTAATATTAAATACATTAAAATTAATTTTTTAAAAATTTCATAAAAATTAATAACATAAAAAAGTTTGAGACTGAGAGAGTAAAAACTATCTATTAAAAAAGAAAAATTATTTGTTTAATTAAAGTAAAATTTTTAACTTCATATACAAATAGCATAATGAAACATATTCTTTCAAAAATATTAAAAATATAAAAAATAATTAAAAAATACGCACATATATATATATATAATTTTTACTATTTATAAAATTAAAAATTACCATATACGAAAATCGAGAACATTAAAATATCAATATTATATTTTGAAAAAGTAAATAAAAATAGTATCTTTAGGTGTGGCCAACTCCAACAGTGGAAGGATATCGTGAATCTGGTCCTTCCAGAGGCAAACCTTCTTTTTAGGGATACCCCCGAAAGACTTAACCGCTAAGATTTCCTCATTCACTTCCCTATATGTATGTGTCCGTCTTATCGCTTCACTCACTTGACCAAATCCATTTTTGCTTTTCTTTTCTTTTGGTTTGGTTTTGGTTTTGATTTTTTTTTTTTTTTCGCAATCTTGACTGAATAACGTTAACTCCGAGGTTTCTGAAATGGAAGGAGGAATAGGAGGAAAGGAAGGGACCACGTGTGGCACTTTCGACCTTAATGCTCTCCCACAAGATTTCATCGCCGTCGTCCTTTCCTTTACCTCCCCTCGTGATGCCTGTAGATTGTCGCTTGTTTCAACTACCTTCAAATCGGCTGCCGATTCAGACACCGTTTGGGAAAGCTTCTTGCCGTCCGAATACCAGGCTTTCTCATCTCTCTCTTTCTCGTCCAAGAAAGAGCTTTATCTTAGCCTTTGTGAAAATCCTGTCCTCGTTGATGGTGGCCGAAAGGTAATTCCACCCACTCTTCTTAATTTTTACGCTGCCATAATTTTCTTAAAAAAATTCTGATGAAAATTTCCATTGCATTCTCGTGTAATTTAGATGCTTTTATTTGGAATTTGAATTTTTGGATGCTTCATTTTCTGAATCCAAAATCATTGCTATAAACAAATTGTATGAAACATTTAATTTAATGTAAACTCACATGCTTTGTTATCGAAGAACATTACTATTTTAAATTTTCAAAAATATTATTTGCCTTTAATCCGAGTATGTTTCTTTTTCCTAATCTAACAGCAAAAGCAAGTAATTTTGTCGGTTGTTGCTTTTATTCCTTATTTTTATTTTCATTTTGGGGGTCAAAAAAGTGTCTTTGGGCTTAAAAAAATCTAATAATTAAAATAGTAATCGTGAACATAAAACTCTACCATGCTTGCCGAATCTTGTTCTTTGCGATTTCTTTTTGTTTTTAATTGCTTGGGTCACATCTATCCGACAAACTCCTCGTCTTTAACCGAACGGTATCAATTAATAAAAATGATAAACATTTCGTTCTTGAATAGGGATTTTGCAAAGTTTTTTTCCTTTCATGCATTGCTTTTTTTGTAGATATGTAACTTGGTTTTTAACTATGTTAATCTTGATGAAACAGAGTTTTTCATTGGATAGAGGGAGTGGCAAGAAATGTTACATGTTGTCTGCCAGGGACCTTTATATTGTGTGGAGTGACACTCCAACTTACTGGAGATGGGTTTCTATACCTGAGTCCAGGTCTCTCTCTCTCCTCTCCGCCCTGTTGGATTCTCTCCGTTATTTCTTTTACTAGTACTTGGGGATACATTCATCATTTCCAAAAAGGAATTGTGTATCCTAGGCATATAATATAAATGGTTATTATAGATTTGTTGGATTGAATATGATGACAGTTCTGCTTCTCACCCCCAATCACCTCCCGTTTTCAGGACTTATTTGATGCTTGTTGTTAACACATAAACATTTCATATTAAAACAGGTTTGAAGAGGTAGCAGAGCTTATTAGTGTTTGTTGGGTTGAAATCCGAGGGAAGATTAGTATCTCCATGCTATCACCCATGACACACTACAAGGCTTACCTTGTGTTCAAGGCAGCGACTGGAGCTTATGGGTTTGAATTCCAACCTGTGGAGGTTAGTGTTGGACTTGTTGGCACTGAAGGTAGGAAGAGAACTGTCTATTTGGATTCAGAAAGAGGCGGGAGACAGCGTCGGCGGATTGCCCCCTGGCGAATTGGGTTACAAGCATCTGCACCCAGTGGGGTAAGTGATGATCAGTTCCCTAAGGTAAGAGTAGATGGGTGGCTGGAGATTGAGCTGGGTGAGTTCTTCAACGAGGGATGTGTCGATGGGGAATTGGAAATGAGTGTTTTGGAGGTAAAGGGTGGTCACTGGAAGGGCGGTCTCGTTATCCAGGGTATTGAGATGAGGCCTAATTAATCTATGTGTCTCGGACTCGTGAGTTACGGGTATGTTCAACCCTTTTTTTTTTTTTTCTAAATTGTTCGTATATTTGTTTGGAAGGTCAAAAAGTCGTATCATTGTTCATCTGATTTCGTCAGATGCGATACCACTGGGAAAATGAAGAGTGGAAAGAACATTAGAATCCGATGCTGCCTCTCGCGTGGTGATGCATTTGCTCCCGAGCATCTCCAATTGTATAATTCCGACGACATTATCTTCTAGCATTTTTAATGCTCCTGTTACGCACTGTAGTAACTAAATAATTTACCTTTTCGGAAAATGTACGCTCAAACGTTTTTTTTTGGTTTACGATGATTTTTTTTTTAGCCGTTATCATGATGATATTATTTTGTATGGCGATTCCCATGTGAACAAATATTAAAAAGTGTTTTTAATCTTTGCAGCCTCATAACTAGGGTTGGTAAATATAATCGAACACGGTGAGATCCGGTCAGCTTTTATAAAATTGATTTTTTTTAATTAAGTTTTGGTTGGATTGATTTTTTTTTTTTTTAAGTTGAGGTTGGATCTTGATCTTATTTAGTATATATAAAAAATATTTTTATTATTTATTTAATTATATATGTATTATATTAATAATATTATTATATAATATTTTAATTTATGATATTAATTTAATAAAACTATTATATTTATATATAAATATAATTAAAATATAATTTATATTAAAATTTTTTATAATATTATATTTAAATTTAAATTATTAAATTTATTTCATATTAATTACGAATTCAAATTTATGCATGTTAAATTCAGAAGAATATATAAAATAATATTTTAATATTAAATCAAATTAAATATTTATTTTATAAAATCAAATCAAAATCAAAATAAAAAAATTATTTTCAACTCAATCCGTCGCCATCACCACTAAAATGATCGAATTTCATGAAGTTTTCCCAGTCGATGATCTCTATAATAATACTATTGTCATCAAACATCGTCATCACAACAAAAGAACTCGTAACATCCCATGATGTGATAATGACGTGTGTATGAGGGGCTTCTTTGTTACGTTTATTTAATTGCTTCTTTACTAGTAATTCTTTATTTATGATTAAAAAGAAAAGGCTGAAAAGAAAATTTTGGCCGCATATATAATAAGAAGAATTAAAATGAAAGTTCTCTATTATGGTTATAAAAAAAATTAACATATTATGAAACTATTATTATGTAATGAATTAATGTTACGAATGATTTTTAAATTATAGTAAAATGTTTAATATGATTTTTTTTTCATTTTTGGAAGAAAGTAAATTCTTTTAACTTTTGGTTAAAATAATAGAAAAACCCTTAAGCCATTTTAAAAGATTTAAATAAACCTTAATCCTTTCATTGCATCTAAATATGCAATTACAGTTTATTTTTCATTATAAAAACTGTTGTATGGAATCCTTTTATTACATCTAAATAGCTCTTCCAGTTTTATTTGTTTTGTTATAAAAGCCGTTATTTGGATGGAAGTAGTGAGTTGACTCACTTGAATAAAATTTCCTTTCACTGTAATGACGATCTGATGTTTACTGAACACATAGACGATGACATGGATTTTTTTACTGCGTGATGTTAATAAAGGATGGAAAATGATTTTTTTTTCATCCATTCTCGTCCGTCTTAGTTCATCTCTGTCAGATAATAATCCTCCATCTCCAACCACATAATCAGAGAGCCCTCCTCCATCTTCAACTCCTTAATATCTCCTTTTTCCTTGATAACGTCCTCTGATTACTGGTTGGATTGTTATATGAGCACTAGATTTTATCATCCCAGACGAAATCCATGCCCACATATTGATTTGAAGCGTGGGCGTGGCCAAACCTCTTCCCCTCTTCCATTATGTAGAAAACCCATTTTCCGACCCTGTTTCCTTCCCTTATTTCTCTTCAAAGCTTTATCCAATGGAGTTGTTGGAGGAAAAATGGCGTATAACCTAGTAGATTGGCAACAGAAATCTGCACAGTGATCCTTGATCTCGAGTGCAAAACAAAGGATCGTCAAATGGGCTCGACGGTGCTTTCGCTGTAGCCTTAATGGATGAAACAGGTGGCTAACAACTCACTAGTGTTGGGTTTGATTTCAAACGGGATGCTTTCTCCATGGTTTTGAAGCATAATTCCCGTTTGGATTTGTTCTCCCTCATTTCCATTTGGTCCAGTAGAGATTGGAGTGTTAATTGGGTTGATTATGATTGTGCTTATAATATGGTTTAATTTTCTGGTTTATGGTTGATTCTTTGTTGAGGGATCTGATATTCTAATTACTAGCTTGCATGTCTAAAAGGTTTAATTTTTTTGATTTATGAGATTTAAGTTGGTTTAATTGGTTTAATTTGATCATGCATAGTGAAAAATAGAAATGTAGAGCTTTCATTCGGATATTAATAGGTTATTTTGTTCCATTATTACATTAACAAGTTGTTTGATTGCTAAGAAAATGTAAAAATAAATTTTTAAAACAATGAGAACTCCGGTAAAATTTTAATTTTTTTTTGTTAAAAATTAAATAAAATTTTTAGAATGAGTCTTTTTTTTTCTAAGTTTTAAGTTTTGCTTTTTTTTTTTTTAATTTCAAGAAGAAAAAAGTTTTTATTCTATTTTTCCCTTTATATCATGCATCCCATTTGTCATTTTCATTGAATCAAGCAGCCACATTAGCTGCAATTTCATGTCATCTTTCCACAAGCCAAATAAATATCAACATGTCAAAGAGTTAACATACATCCAGCCCGCATGATGGATTCAATCCAAATAAGGGTTTCTACAATGGAAAATAAAACTTTGTACTTATTTAGATATATATAATAAACGAATAAAAGCTTATTTAGATTTTTCAAAATAGTTCAAAGGCGTTTTTATTATTTAACTTTAATTTTTTTTTTCATTGATTTTGATTTCTGGCTTCCTTCAGGAATCAGAAGAAAGAAATAAGAGAGAAAAAAAAAGTTAAGAAATTCAGCAGCAAAGCATCAAAATAATGGATTTAAGATTTATTTAAATAGAATATGAGAAAGATTTTAATGAGATTAAAATTATTATTGATGATAAAATGTATAAAATTATTATTTCACGTCAATATATTTTTTATTTAAAAAATTTATACTATTAAAAAATTAATCGTTTATTTTATATTACATGTAATAATTAAATAATAAATATTTATTTCTTGTGTTCGTTGAATTATCTTCCATCTTTCTCTATCAATCATATCTTTACAACTTTCAAAACCCTGAAAAGTGTGATCGGTAAAGTTACTTTGCATGCATAATCAATCATGCACACAACTCCTTTTCATGTTGTTGTTACTTTGAGTTTCATTTTCTATCATAAATGCATTAAGGTGAGTCATTTTTCAATATGTTCTTCTATCTGCTTAAACCATTATCTTTTTTTAAAAAAAAAAAAAAAATTGAAGATAGATAAATTATTCAAATTTTCAAGTCAAAGTAAAATGTATCATGTTTGACAGTTTATGACAAATGATTACAAGTCGTGCATTTGAGATAACTCCAATAAGTGATCATCGATAAGACTCGAATCAAAAACTTTTTCGTTAAAGAGAACGAATCTAATCAATTAAACCAACCATTTGTTAGTAAACTTAATCCATTATCACGCTCAGCTATATTGCTACTTCTTCTTACTTCAATCTCTCTTTCTACTATAAGTAAAATTTAATCATTTATTTCAAAAGAAAAAAAACTAAAATAATAAAAAAATCTTAACTCTATTATTTTGTTTAAATAAGTTTTTATATTTTTATTGCACTTAAATAAATATTTTATTTCTAATTTATATCCAAATAAATCTTTAATCTTTATTTTATATCTAAACAAGTGTTAATATTTAATTTATACCTAAATAAATTCTTAATATAAATTAATTTTTTATTTAAAGTAAGGATTTATATGGATACAAATGAAACGATGAAAACTTATTTGGATAATATAAAAATATGAAATTTTATTTAAATAAAGTTGAATAGTTTAAGAGCATTTTTAATAATTTAGCAAAAAAAAAAAAGAAAAAACAGGAACACTCCATGGATTTTTAAGATAATTTTTTAAAATTAGTTAATATATTATTATTAATAATAATTTCTATTAAATGTAATAATTAATAATTTTATTAATGATTTTTAATATCTTTGATGAAGGTATTATTTTATATAATAATTTAATAATATTTTTAGGACACATATTAGCAAAATTCATTTTTTATTATGTATATTTAGCTCAAAATAATGTAAGGACATATCTTAAAAAATAAAACTAAACCATCAAAGTTTTTGTATTTCTTTTCATATGTATTTCATTTTCAATCCAAACGTGGGGTAAAGATGCAAATGCTTCTCAATTCTGAAGCTGAACCGTACCTTGGGCTTGGGGCGGGTGGGTTTGCTTTGATATTTTCGGTTGGGCTGATTGTGAATTGGGACCAAAGTTGGGTTGGCACTTGCTATCAGGCTTATGCATAAAATAAAACAGCTATTTTTTTTTATATAATTTCTTTAGCAAAAAATTGCTATACTAAAATTTTTTAATTATATAGCTAAGATGATTAAAAAATAAATTTTGGTTATTTTTGAATGATATTTTCGTTAATTCGAAGGCAAAAAAGCCTTTAGACACAAAAAGAAATATATATTTGAAAATATTAAAGAAAGTAATTTTTATAATTTTTTTTGAAAATAACAAAATATATGATTCTATTTTATATAAAGTGGTTATATGATGATTGGATATTATATTTTAATTAATTATAATTTGAGTGGTAATATTTCCACACAATTTTGTATTTTTAGCATTCTGAAATTTGCTTGAAAAAAGCCAAATTAAAGCTTTCATTATTACTAATTATGAGGAAATTTTCAAAGAAAAAAAAAACTACTTGTCCATCTTTCACACATTTCAACAAATAATTCTAAAAGAATATATGAATAAATAATTTAAACAAAAATATTATCACGTTATATTTGTGTAATCGAAGGAAGATAGATTAAATAATTTAAAATTTGGTACGAAAATATCATATTGTGAGATAAAATAGATCATGAACATGATACAATATAAAATTTTAATAATAATTATATATAAATTAATTAAAATTAAAAAATTAATTTATATTAACACGAATTATAATATATAATTTTTATATAAAATATTATATTAATATATAAATTTTAATATTTTATATGATATAAATATATAAATATCATGTCTAAATGAATATAATGAATATTCATCCTTAATTTCATATGCTTATGATAAGACAAATTTCAATTAAAAAAAAAGGTTATTTTTTTTACTTTTAAAATATAAAAAAGACCGTTCAAAAAACATAGACGGGTAAAAAAAAGTTATTTTCTCTCTCATAAACGCCAATTATTATCGAGGAGAGAGGAGAAGAAGGGAGAAAATTATTAACATAGGGTCTTCGAAAACTGTCCATCCTTTTCCAGTTTTTCCTTTGTTTTCCAATCACCCAAACACAAAGCAAAATAAGTTTTTTTATCTAGTTACATTTTCCCTTCAACAATTTTCAATGTTTTCACGTCTTATAGGGTTTCTTAACCTTCCATTTCATTTATAAAGCGGCGGCGAGCGAGGGGCAAGCGTTTGGAGCTTTCTTTTGTGAAAGGTTACCAAAAGAATGAAGCTTTAGATCTCGTGGGCGTCGCGGAATTTTAAAGAGTTAGACTCTAGCTAATTCAAGGTAACATTTTTTGGTGTTTAAATTTGTAGTTTTTGGTGAAAGAAAGTGAACTAATTTATTTAATAGTTTTTGAGTTAAGGAAAGCACTTATCTTCCTAAAGTTTTATAGATCTTAATGTAAGTTTAGATTATGCTTAGGGTGCACCATGAATTTGTCCCATTTTATAATTTCAGTTTTTTGGTTGCTTGGAACTTTGATTATTGAATTGTTGCTTGATTTTTAAGGACTCAAAATGTTAATTTTCTTGCTTAAAAGAGTTAAAAGGTGACTTAATGTTAGCTGTCAAAAGCAGCCAATATCATAGCATTTGTTCACTGTAGTAAAAATTGTGGCATTTAATTGAAAGCTTTTAGTTGCTATATTATTGCCCTCTACTATAATTATCTTGCTATGAGATGGAGAATTCACGTTTATTGGAATTTATTATAGTTCCTTCTACTTGTTTAAGAGTTTTATGATGCTATGTCACAATTCCTCAAATCTTTGGCTGTGGGGGATAAAAGATTTCATTCTTGAGACATGGATTTTATTATTGTAAGAAGATATCTCTTACTTTTTGATAAGGGCTTGGTCTGTGGTTATATCATCTTGATAGCATTTCCTCTAAACATACAGTTTGCTAGAGTTATACCTTTATGTGGTCATCCTCTTTTTGTCGATTATATGTTTTGTAAGTTCCTTCATATAGTCATTACCAAGGTACTTAGAAAGCCACTTCTTTGCTTGCTGCTTGTGCTTGACAGACTGTACTTAATCATTTTAAATGGCTTCATGGCGGCAAAAGCTAAATTAGTTCAGAGGGACATGTTCTTTTAGAAAACTTGCACGTTGACACTTCTTCACAAACGTACATCAGGTTCCTCTTGTTGCAGTGACCATTGGTGGCTTCTCTTTCTCAGTTTTTTGGAGCATAATGTTGATTTGGCTCTGATCTATGGGTGTGTTCCCCTGAGCTAAGACTTTGGGGGCTTCTCTTTGTCAAGTTACGAAAAAATTTTGCAAAGCTACCTATTTGCTTTAGAATTGCTAAATTAATACTCTTTGTTCTTATTGATGATTTGTTCTTGGTATCCATGTCTAAGGACTACGGTACTTAACGCACATCACATGATTTTTTTAATTTCAATCTTCTATACTTTTTTCACTTTTTTTTCTTCTGATAGACCTGATTCCTTTCTTGTAATTGGTATAATTAGATTGTAGAAACCCCCTAACTCGAGTTCTTGAAACTTCCATTCCCCTTCCCGTTATTAGGAAGAGAGGTTATTGTTAAATTTATTTATCTTGTAACTGCTGCTCATTAGTTTCTTTTCTGTTACAGTTATGTTTTATAATCCTTTGGGTGCTAAATTAGTTGCTTCACTCGCTGACAGCTTACAAAGGGATTTTGCTGGCAATGTTGCTGAACTATCGAGAAGAAAATTTTTTCCATTTCTATGTTGAATAATTATACTGGTATAATTATTTTCATTTTGCTGCCTTAGTTTGTTTTGGCTACCTCCTCCCATACCCCCCACCAAAATATATATATATACATATATACTAATTTCCTTTCTTTTTTTTTTTTTTCTACTGCACTATCTGTACCTAACTAAGAGTATGTATGTGCTGTTTTTGAAGCTTTTCCTCGAAGCATTTTCTATTCTGTTTACTGCATGGAGGGAGCCCTTTGAATCACATCAGACTGTTGCTTCCTTTATTTCATGTAATCATGGCTGATCATGCTTTAGTGGTAGCTGATACTTCTCATGCCCTTGTAGAACATTCATTAGTTATCGGGCAGGAATTTCCTGATGTTGAAACTTGCAGAAGAACCTTGAAAGAGATTGCTATAGCATTGCATTTTGATCTTAGGATAGTGAAATCTGATCGCAGCAGATTTATTGCCAAATGCTCCAAAGAAGGTTGTCCATGGCGTGTCCATGTATCAAAATGCCCTGGAGTTCCAACTTTCTCAGTTAGAACTCTGCATGGGGACCATACATGTGAAGGGGTTCACAACCTCCATCATCAGCAAGCATCAGTGGGTTGGGTTGCTAGATCAGTTGAAGCACGCATTCGGGATAATCCACAGTACAAACCAAAAGAAATCCTGAAAGATATCCGTGACCAGCATGGAGTTGCTGTTTCTTATATGCAAGCTTGGCGTGGGAAGGAACGAAGTATGGCTGCACTTCATGGGACTTTTGAAGAAGGGTATTGCCTTCTTCCTGCATACTGTGAGCAAATAAGGAAAACCAACCCCGGAAGTGTTGCCTCAGTTTTTGCCACTGGACAAGAAAATTATTTCCAGCGCCTTTTTGTTTCTTACCGTGCATCTATCTATGGTTTTATAAATGCTTGTAGACCACTTCTGGAACTTGATAAGGCTGATCTGAAAGGAAAATACTTGGGTACGTTACTTTGTGCTGCAACTGTTGATGCAGATGATGCATTGTTTCCCTTGGCAATTGCTATTGTTGATGTGGAAAGTGATGAGAATTGGATGTGGTTCATGTCAGAGTTGAGAAAGCTTCTTGGTGTAAACACTGAAAACATGCCTAGACTCACAATACTATCTGAAAGACAGCGAGGCATTGTAGATGCAGTAGAAACCCATTTTCCAAGTGCTTTTCATGGTTTTTGTCTACGTTATGTCAGTGAAAATTTCCGTGATACATTTAAGAATACAAAGTTGATTAATATCTTCTGGAACGCTGTTTATGCTCTCACTGCTGTTGAATTTGAGAGCAAAATTGCTGAGATGGTAGAGATCTCACAGGAGGTTTTACAATGGTTTCAACTCTTCCCTCCCCAGCTTTGGGCAGTAGCATATTTTGAAGGAGTGCGATATGGCCACTTTACACTAGGTGTGACTGAGTTGTTGTATAATTGGGCCCCTGAATGTCATGAGCTTCCCATTGTGCAGATGATGGAACATATTCGCTGTCAACTAACCTCTTGGTTTAACAATCGTCGTGAATTGGGAATGAGATGGACCTCAATTCTTGTACCATCTGCTGAGAAGCGGATTTTAGAGGCAATTGCAGATGCTCGTTGCTACCAAGTACTTAGAGCAAATGAAATTGAGTTTGAGATTGTCTCAACCGAGCGTACAAATATTGTGGATATTAGGAGTCATGTGTGTTCCTGTCGCCGTTGGCAGATTTATGGTTTACCTTGTGCACATGCTGCAGCTGCACTTATTTCTTGTGGGCAGAATGCTCATCTGTTTGCTGAACCTTGTTTCACAGTGGCAAGCTACCGTGAGACCTATTCACAGATGATAAATCCTATTCCAGATAAGAGCATTTGGAAGGAGCAAGGTGAAGGAGCTGAGGGTGGAGCTGCCAAGCTTGATATCACAATACGCCCTCCCAAAACTCGTCGGCCACCCGGAAGACCAAAAAAGAAAGTTCTTCGTGTAGAGAACTTGAAGCGCCCAAAAAGAGTTGTTCAATGCGGTAGATGCCATTTATTAGGACATTCTCAAAAGAAATGCACAATGCCAATTTGACCCTGATTTAGTTTCTTTTTCTTTCCCTATTACACTTTAATATTTTCTTCTGAAATTCCAATAGAATCAGTGGCGTCTTTGTAATCATATTGTATGTTTTTAACATTCTAGTTGCAGAATAAGCATCCACTACTTCTTCTTCAATTGTCCATTGATCCTGTGCTCATTGCTGCATCTTGTTCCTGTTTTACATCGGCTTTTCCTTCCATAAGCACATAGTAATCAAATTATTGTCATCTTATGTTTGAAAGATTCAGTGTATTTCATTTAATGTTTTCAGTTTTTACAGGTCTTTAACAATTTTGACCGCTAGGTGTATAGACGACTTCATGATAAACTTTTTCTCTATTATTAGAATGTTTCTGGAAATTGTTTTGGAAATTCTATAGGAGATAAGTCTTTACCCTTTGATAGGTTATTTTCTCATGTAAGTGCTATGACTTTTACAGTTACCTAACAGGAATGATTAACAGGCAAGTTTTTGTATAGCTAATGTGCTTTCTCCTTGCTCTTCAGTCTCGCTGGTATGTTTTGCCAACATTACTTTTTCTTACCGTGTCTTAATTGCACGAGGTGGTAATATATTTCTCGAATGAAAGCTGCAGACAAGGAGGGATGTACCATCCCCCAATAGGCATGTGCCTAGGGTTGGCAGCTTAACTCGAGTCCGATGGGTTTCGACTCGATCCGATCATATATGGTAATTTTTATTTTTTTTGAAATTCAAGTTTTGGGTCGGATCGGATATTATTAAAAAAAAATCGGCTTCGAGTCAGGTTCAAGTTTTAGGCAAATTCGATTCGATTCGATATTATATTAAAAATTATTTTTTTAATTATTTTTAAATTTTTTATTTATATATAATTATATTTTTATATTTTAAAAATAATATTTTATATTTAAAAAAATAATATTTTATTAATTTTAAGTCGAATCGAGTTTGAATATAAAAAAATAAAAAAAATTCAATTCGGGTTCGGATTTTTTTATTATGAACTTAGGTCGGGTTTAGTCGAATAAAAATTCGTTTCGACCCGATCTATTGTTATCCTCACATGTGTCTCCTAGGAATTGGACTTATTTTTTTTAAAGAAAAAAAAGTTTTAGGTCATCTTTTCCTTTAATTGATCTTTCATAGGACTTATTTTAATTATTGATTTTGTATTTAGTCGTTCATAATAGATTTTGGGTTACAAGTTTGGTGTTGTAAGGCTGTAATTTAATTTCAATTATTTTCTTTGATTATGAATTATTATATGCTATATGCTACAATTATTATTTACTATTAGGTCTTCCATGAGCTATAGGTCATAATATCACATATGAAAAAACTGATAGTAATTCTATTTTATCATATAGTTAAAAAGTATATTTGTCGTGTCGCCATCGAATTAATAATTTTGATGTGATGCATATCAAAAAATATTGTGTAATATAATATAATTGAATATTGTTAAAAGGTAAAATCTAAAATATTTTAAATGCTCATTTAAACTTGAAATATATAGGTCTAGGATTTGAGCAGTACCAATTCAAGATGATCACATCAAAACCTATATGCCTTTCGCATCCTTTTTCATGGAATAGCAAGGAAAAACATATTTATTGTGAAGTTTTTCGAAGGGAAAAATTTTCATTTATTTAGATAGGTTGGGTCATTTTATCATTTAAAATTTAAATCAACAAATTTCTAAATCTAGCTTTGGAAGCAGGCCATGGACGCTTGTTCAATTTTAACAAGGTAATTAAATTCACCGTACGGATTTATTTATTTATTATTATTATTATTAATTTAAAGTTAAAAAAGGCTAAAGTGAGATTCCTGGATATCGCCATCAAGATTTCGGGTGATGATTCCAATGCCGCCAATTCTTCCGGTCCTTTTGTTTACTCTTTTTTTTTTTTTTTCTTTGTCGTTACATTTATTGGATTTATTAAGGGATTTAGGTCCAAGGTTAGGACCACTCTCCCTTGTATGCCTCTAAGTTTTGAAAAACAGTGTCCTGAAGTTGAATTAGTAAAGGGTTGCTCTTTTTTAACAAAACCAAAGTTGGTTCAGGGCCGAAAGGAAACAAAGCTTACTTAGGAATAACTGAAAAGGAGATATATCTTCAAAACATCCTGAAAGGATGTCGAGTGCTTAGGTCTATGGAAAGGGAAATCTCTTCCGTACCCACTAAATGGCATATAAGTTCTCTAGGCTTTTTTGGGACCAATTATTGGAACTTCCTGTTTCAGTATTGTGTTGATCGAAATTTAAGGTTTGTTCAATGGAATATTGTGAAACTGGTTTGTAATTGTCCTCATCCAAAATTTTGGTATTAATATGTTGACTGCTAAATAGCTATTTGAAATGCCTTATCGTTATGTTTTGACTGTATCCTTGTAAGTTTTCCTCAGGTTCATCATGGTGTAGTTGGAACTGCTGCTGCTGGTCTAAAAGCTGCACTAACCTGCCATCTCCAAAAGTATATCCTTCTGATTCTTTCTCTACTTTTTAAAGTCACTTTTACTCTTGAATACAGTGTCCAACAACTATTGTACCCTTCTTCGAGGATCAGCCTTTCCGTGGAGAACGAGTGCATGCCAGAGGAGTAGGTCCTGCATCCATCCCTGTTGAGGAGTTCTCACTTGACAAGCTGGTTGATGCGATACACTTTATGCTGGATCCTGAGGTAAGATAATTTCCTTTAGAATTAACGTAGGGCTACAGCTTATGTTCTTCCCTTAATATCTCTGGCATCGTTAGCAAAATTACCAGATTGCTTTATATAGAAATCCTATTGGCCTCCTTTACAAATCTGCTTTTTGCTTCTCAAGTAGAAAATAGAAAAAAAGCAAACAAAAATATTGAAGAATTAAACATTTAGAATGACATAAATCAAGAATGATTGTTTCACAATATATTTTAGTATTTTTAATTTTCGGTGTTTTTTGAATGTTGTGGTATAGATGTTAAACAGAAATTGGGTTTGATGCAGGTGAAAAGGCGTGCGTGCTGTGAAGGACATGGAGCAGCAGTGCAGTAAATGCCTTATATAAACATTTTGTTAGGAAAATGGGGTCCAGTCCCATGTAAGTGATTTTGGACCAAGTAAAGGTCATGGGCCTTGATCTTTTATTTTACACAGAGCCCTAGCTACTTAATAAAAAAGAGGTGGGGTTGTTTTAGGTGTGTGTCGAAAACCAAGCAGAGAAAGAAGAAAAGCCAGAAAAAGCAGAGAGAGAAAAAAGAGAAGGGAGAGTTGGTTGAACGGAAGTCTATCCGTGGTCCGATTGAGTTGGAACCTTGTCAAGAGGTTTATGATTCAGAGTTTTACATTCTGAACGGTGAAGATCGGGTTTGAAGCTCTCTAGGAACAAATCCAGGGTGTATTTGTTGAGTCACTTATTTGGTGAGATTTCTCCAATTGTTTCTCTAGTTGTTGATTAGCTCTAGTTTTAGCTAGAGAAGAACTTTGTATAGCTATTATTTGATAGTGAAGATTTTTCTGGTAGTCCGTGATTTTTTCCCTCTACACTGGAGGGTTTTCCACGTAAATCTTGGTGTGCTTTATTTTTCCTGCGCATTTGATTATTGATTGTTGTCTATTGCTTCTGTATTATTGTGATTATTGCTTCAGGCGCAACAAGTGGTATCAGAGCGATGGTTATTTTAAAACATCGATACAGAAGCAACCCAAGATAGAAGTAAATTCTGTTTGAGATCATGGAAGGTGATACAGGTTCCATGATAAAATTGACAGTATCAAATTATTCAATTTGGAAGCCTATGATGGAGGATCATCTATACTGCAAAGATTTGTATGAGCCAGTATTGGGTGATTCGACTAAACCAGCAGATATGAAAGATGAAAGCTGGAAGAAGCTAGGTAGAAAGACGTTGGCTACAATAAAAAAATGGATTGATATCAGCGTGTTCCATCATGTAACGCAGGAGTCAGATGCTCACATTGTTTGGGAAAAATTGGCAGCATTGTATGAGAGAAAAATAGGTATGAATAAAGTTATGCTTGTTAAAAAGATTGCAACTTGTAAGTTTAAACATAGATCCAAGTCTAGAGGTAAAGTGAAGTGTTTCCATTATGGTAAGGCGGGTCATATAAAACGAAACTGTAAAATCTTGAAGTAAGAGCGAAAAGATGAGAAAGGCAAGAGTTCAGATGATAGCAATATTGCAGCAGTGAATTCAGATAGTGATTTAGTTACTTTGATTTGTACACATGGTGATTGCAATCATGTTAGTGATCCCGACATTGAGTGGATAGTTGACACAGGAGCGGCATATCATTGTATTCCTAAAAGAGAGTTGTTTACAACTTACAAAGCAGGAGACTTTGGTTGTACCAAAATGAGAAACAAGAATGTGTCGCAGATTGTTGGGATTGATGATATTGTTGTACAAACTAGTACAGGCTGCATGTTGACTTTGAGGGATGTCAGACACATTTCAGATATGAAAATGAACTTGCTTGCTATTAATGTCCTTGATAAGGAGGGATATGAAAGCCGACAAAAGAATGGACAGTGGAAGCTTCTCAAAGGATCTATGATAGTTGCAAGGGGAAAACTATGCTGCACAATGTATAAGACATGGATGCAATTAAATGGTAACCAGGTAAATACCGTTGAAAATGATGCTTCAGCAAACTTGTGGCACAGGAGGCTGGCACACATGAGTGAAAAAGGGTTACAGGTTTTGGCAAGGCACTCTCTCATTCCCTTGACCAAAGGTATGTCTCTCGATTCATGTGATTATTGTTTGTTTGGTAAGCATCATAGAGTTTCTTTTCGTAAAAGTTCTCAGAGAAAAGAAAATAGATTGGAATTAATTTATTCTGACGTATGTGGTCCCATTGAGGTTGAGTCATTAGGTGGTAGCAGATATTTTGTTACTTTTATTGATGATGCTTCACGTAAGACTTGGGTGTATATGTTAAAATAAAAAAGTCAGATACTGCAGTATTTTCAAAAATTTCATGCCATGGTTGAAAGGATGACAAGGTTACCCTTGAAGTGTATTCGAACTGATAATGGTGGGGAATACACATCTAAAAGCTTTGAAGAGTATTGCTCAAAGCATGGGATCAGGCATGAGAGGACAGAACCTGGAACACCGCAGCATAATGGTATAGCTGAAAGAATGAATCGCACCATTGTGGAAAAAGTCAGATGTATGTTGAGGATGGCAAAATTACCAAAGCCATTCTGGGGTGAAGCAGTCAACACAGCTTGTTATTTACTTAACAGGTCACCATCAGTTCCTTTGGGCTTTGACATTCCAGAAAGAGTGTGGACAGAAAAAGATACTTCATACTCTCACTTGAAAGTTTTTGGGTGTAAAGCATTCATGCATGTGCCAAAAGAGCAGAGGTCAAAGCTTGACAGTAAAGCTACACAGTGTGTGTTTGTAGGATATGGTGATGAAGAATTTGGTTACAGGGTATGGGATCCAGTAAAGAGAAAGACAGTCAGAAGCAGAGATGTGGTCTTTCATGAAAAGAACATAGCAGACCTTGAGAAAATGAGAAGACTACACGAGTACTGTGATGTGATGTTTCAACACCGACAGGGATTTCACAGGAAAGAGCCCACAGATGGTGAAAATGAGCCAGAAACAGAACTTGGGGATATGAATGAGCCAGCCACAGTTGGTGATGAGCCCAGATGCTATTAGTTTTGAGCAGGGGGAGCAATCCTCTCTACCTGAGAGTGTTGAGCAGGGGGAGCTACCTCAACATCAAGTGATGTAGAGTCTCAGGCCAGGAGATCTACTAGAGAGCGTAGGTCATCTACCAGGTATCCAAGTCCAGATTTTAATTTTTAGTTACCAGTGAAGGGGAGCCAGAAAGCTTTCAAGATGTCAGGCTACTCCGGATAGAGAACACTGGTTAAAAGCAATGAAAGAAAGAGATGGAGTCATTGCGAAGAATGGTACTTATGATCTTGTTAAACTTCCAATAGGGAAGAGGCCATTAAAGAATAAATGGGTGTTCAAGTTGAAAAAGGATGGTGACAAACTAGTGAGGTATAAAGCTCGATTGGTAGTAAAAGGTTTTTCTCAGAAACCAGGCATCGATTTTGATGAGATTTTTGCTCCAGTTGTAAAAATGAGTTCTATTCGAGTGGTACTGGGATTGGCAGCTAGTTTGAATCTTGAACTTGAGCAACTTGATGTTAAAACTGCATTTTTGCATGGTGATTTACAGGAGGACATTGATATGAATCAGCCTGAGGGTTTTGAAGTGAAAGGGAAAGAGCACTTAGTTTGCAAATTGAAGAAAAGCTTGTATGGCTTGAAACAAGCTCCGCGACAGTGGTACAAGAAGTTTGATTCTTTTATGATGAGTCATAGCTATAAAAGAACAGCAGCGGATTCTTGTGTGTATGTTAAACAATTTCCTAATGGTAACTTCATTATCCTATTATTATATGTTGATGATATGTTGATTGTAGGACAAGATGCTAGTATGGTTTGCAGGTTAAAAGAACAATTGTCTAAGTCCTTTGATATGAAGGATTTAGGTCCAGTAAAGCAGATTCTTGGTATGGACATTATCCGGGATAGGAGAGCTGGAAAGCTGTGGTTGTCACAGGAAAAGTACGTTGAACGAGTGCTTGGTAGATTCAACATGCAACATGCTAAATCAGTTAGCAGTTCACTTGCCAACCATTTTCATCTAAGTAAGAAATCTTGTCCAGTGTCTAAGGAAGAGCAACTAGCTATGTCTAGTATTCCTTATTCTTCTGCAGTCGGTTCTTTAATGTATCTTATGGTTTGTACAAGGCCTGACATTGCTCATGCAGTTGGTGTAGTGAGCAGATTTCTTTCTAATCCAGGGAAGGTTCACTGGAAGTAGTAAAATGGATTTTAGATATTTGAGGGGTACCTCAAAAATGTGCTTGACTTATGGAGTTTCACAACCAGTTCTAGAAGGGTTTACTGATGCTGACATGGCAGGCGATCTTGATGGTAGAAAATCTACTTCAGGGTATTTGTTCACTTTTGCAGGAGGAGCTGTATCTTGGCAAGTCTAAGTTACAGAAGTGTGTTGCTTTGTCAACTACAAGAACTGAGTATATTACAGCAACTTAAGCATGGTAAAGAAATGCTTTGGATGAAACGCTTTCTTTTTGAATTGGGGTTGGAATCAGAAAGAGTATGTGGGTATTTTGTGATAGTCAGAGTGGGCTTTAGATTTGAGTAAGAATACCATGTACCATGCGTAGAACAAAGCACATTCTAATGTTAAAAAAGATATCATCTTGGTTACGGTTCGGTGATTGAAGAACAACACGATGTTATCTGAGAACAGTTCAGTACTGATAAAGAATGTAGCAGATATGTTGACTAAAGATACTTCCCAGGGAAAAGCTTGAACTTTGCAGTAACTTGACCGGAATGAGTTCTCTGGCCAAGGTAAGATTCCAAAATGAACTGGCTATGGTGATGAATCCTCCTTCTAATGGGACTGGAGGGGGAGATTGTTAGGAAAATGGGGTCCAGTCCCATATAAGTGGTTTTGGACCAAGTAAAGGCCATGGGCCTTGATCTTTTATTTTACACAGAGCCCTAGCTACTCAATAAAAAAGAGGTGGGGTTGTTTTAGGTGTGTGTCGAAAACCAAGCAGAGAAAGAAGAAAAGCCAGGAAAAGCAGAGAGAGAAAAAGGAGAAGGGAGAGTTGGTTGAACGGAAGTCGATCCGTGGTCCGATTGAGTTGGAACCTTGTCAGAAGGTTTATGATTCAGAGTTTTACATTCTGAACGGTGAAGATCGGGTTTGAAGCTCTCTAGGAACAAATCCAGGGTGTATTTGTTGAGTCACTTATTTGGTGAGATTTCTCCAATTGTTTCTCTAGTTGTTGATTAGCTCTAGTTTTAGCTAGAGAAGAACTTTGTATAGCTATTATTTGATAGTGAAGATTTTTCTGGTAGTCCGTGGTTTTTTCCCTTTACACTGAAGGGTTTTTCACGTAAATCTTGGTGTGCTTTATTTTTCCTGCGCATTTGATTATTGATTGTTGTCTATTGCTTCTGTATTGTTGTGATTATTGCTTCAGGCGCAACACATTTTCCTGGCAAGAAATCTAAGGACGAACCACATCCACCACCAGCTCCATCAGGATTACTTTCTATAGCGTGTTGTTTTGGTCACACATTATTTTCAAGCTTCATCTTTTAATTTTCATTTGGATCTTAATTCTGTTATAAACTCAGCGTTGTTGTAATTTACTGAAGCTAATAGTCATAATTTATGGGTTGCTATTTTAAGTTACTTTGTGATTTTTTTTCTTTAATTTTATTGTAAGGAATTAAGGACATAAAAAATCCAAGCAAGCCAATTATCCAATGATAAGAAACCACTAAAATGCAATAAATTATCCGATCATGAGGAAACAATAACCCTGACTTGGTTTTTACCTGTTCTTTGGAGGATAAAGATTCAAGGTTCGAATCCCCTCTGCTCCCCTCCCTTAGACTCTTAATATGTACCATAGAAGAGAAATGAGAAAATAACAGTTAAAGGATTTACAAATCAGTCGTATGATGTGGTTGACATGTACGAAGGAATGGGAAAATCCATCAGCTTTGAAGAAGAAGAATAGTTGGGTGTACTAAAACAGGGGAGTCTTGGCTGATCAACATGATACATATTTGTAGTTTACAGTGCCAAGCATGATGCACCTGAAATTCATTACTTGCAAACTGAAGTTCAAATAACACATTCGTAGGAAGTGAAATAACCTTTCGGGTTCAATGGAAAGTGGCAGTCTCATACTTCAGCAGAGCAATTCCTTTTTCTTTTTACAAACTAGATAAATTCAACCTGCAATGAGAAGGCATCTCCACCATCACTGTATAAAGGAACTGCGCCATGATGAAGGGAAGAATTATGAAAGTAGAACAGGTACTTAATTACCATCTGATTTCAATAGAAGGGAAATGAGCTTATCTCACAATCACCAAAACATATTGCCTTATTCCAGATTGGGTAACTGAAGATTAACCTCTCCCACTTCAGAATTTTGGACATTCTGTGATCATAAGAAAGTACAACATATGGACGGATTAGAGGAAGAATTGTTAGCTATGCATGGAAAGGTACAAATTTGCATTTTACAATCATTTTCATTGACTAACAAGAAGTCGTTAAAAGCTTTATGTTTATAGCTTCAGAGGGCAGAAATATAAACTTATTTGTATCTACTTCATCTTAGTAAATTCGATTGGCTACTGAATACTCAGATAAAGCTTTGTAATGCACATCTGAATAAGATTCTTTAATGCTTTTAATCATAGTCCTCTATAGATCACCATCCCGGTTTGAATTAATGAATTAATTCTGCGAGAGCTGCACTTAGAAATATCAGTAGGGTCAGGAAGCCACGTCATTTTAGCAAGCTAGGAAGCTGGATAGGGAGAAGCAAAGGCGGCTGACATTTGTATCCCTGTCATTTCTATAAAAAGCTGTTGTGTAGTAGCTTCAAGGTGGCCATCCCAGCGCCCTCTTTCTTTATCTTCATCTTCATCTTCTGTCAATTGCACTCGTTCAGCTTTGATGTGCTTGAATCTCCTTGACAGAAATTCATCTTTGGGCACTCTCTCACAATCTTCTTTTTCAAGGCCGGGAATTCAAAGTTGTGATCCCCTAAGGAAAAGCTTACTAGACTTGGTAGACAACTTAATTGCAAATACTCCAGTTTGGAGAAAACAATGCTACCTTTTATTTCTTCACCGTCACATGCTATGATTTCCTCTATCATCTTGCAATCACTTATGCTCAATCTTTTTAGCAGCATCAGGCTCTTAGCTCCTGAGCATGCTACTAAATTGAAGATTCCATGACATCTCGAAACTTTCAGAGTTGTTAAATTTTCGAAAGACGCCAATGAGGGGACTAAAGTCTTGAATTTGCCACATTCCTCTACTTCAAGAATTCTCAGTTTACAGAAAGCTGCTCGGAACTCTTCCTGCCAGATATGTGTCAGCTCTGGAAGTTTAGACAACCGCAATTTACTTAACCGAGTGGGAACTGATGAATGTCCTTCCTCATCGAGTCCTTCAGACTGGAATATTTGACGGAAGGAAGCATCATTTAGAACCAACGTTTTAAGAGCTGGTAAAGACCGAATGAAGCAAAATGGAAGAGCATCTGATTTCCCAGGGACACGTATGAGCTCAAGAACTTTTAGTTTCCTGAAACAGTCTCTTGAGAGTTGTCCATGCCATATCCCTTTCGAAGTAGCAGTCTTCTCCAATATTAATTTTTGTAAGATAGGGAATGTAACCTGGTTAATCAACAGATGTATTGAACAAAAACAAAGAGTTTGAACTGGTTAAAGATTAAAAAAAAAAGGAACAATGGATTTTACAAGTTTTGTGTTCAATTATACCTCACTGACCCAAAACAAGGGTTCCTGATTTGATATTTCAACCTGACTCTCTGTCTGCGTTTCTCCAAAGCAAGCACGTTCTGAAGCAAATATGTCTACTTTGTGGCACACGTTCTGAAGCAAATATGTCTACTTTGTGGCATTCAATCACCTCCATTTGTTTCAGTGATGGCCATTCTGTAGCATGAGTCCTAAAGTAGAAACGTTTCAATTTGGGTAATTTAACAAATCGAAGGCATGTTACTTTGGGAAACACAAACTTAGCCTCTGTTTCTACCGCAAGAGAATGAGTAGAAGTTGCTGCATGAGATTGATTAGCAATGAGTCCTTGTGGCTCAAATATTTCTTCTAATAAATCACAATTCTCAATCTGCAAACTGTCTAGTTCCTCAAGTCTTTCCATCATGTTAAGCGGAAAAATATTTAGGAGTGTTTCACATCCTTCAACCCATAAATTGTTTAGTTTGCAAAACGAATTTACAGTGAGTTGGTCTTGCCATATCTTTCTGCAGTCCCTCATACCTTCAATTGCCAACTTCTCCAAACTAGGGAAGAACACCTAAAAAAAATTCATTTAATAGGATTAATTGTTGGACATAAGATAAAAAATAGATGAGAAACTTACAAGTTTCAAATATTGGGAAAACAAATTGTGCAAAGTGTCATGGTGAAATTAATAGATGGAAGAAATGAAAACCCACAAAAAGGAAGGAATCACCTTTTCATTGAAGAGAACCCAGTTATCAACCTCCAAGTTATTTCCTTCTGCTTTTTGATCAATTTGAGACTCATCTCCAGCATCTTCAACATCTTCATTACAGATTTAGAGATGAATGTCTTCAATAAAGGACAGTTTATTAGGTCCAGAGTTGTCAACAAGGGGAATTCATTGTGAGTTTCATAGCAGAATCTTGTGAGTTTGGGAAGGTCTTTGAGCGACAGGAATTCTAGTTTAGGGAACAATATCGGGCTCATCCTTTCTTCTTCTGTCAATCCTTCCATGAACAATATTACTTCTTCCATGTTCTTATAGTCCCAAATGACAAGACTTTCGAGTTGCAGAAAATGTTTTACCATGAAAGATGGAAACAGATATTTCAAATTGTGACAGCCCTTTATAATTAACTGTTCTAAATTCCGAACATAAAGGGCGGATGCTGGCTGTTGGAGATCCCATATCTTTTTAATGTTAATTGAGGACAGTTCCAAAAAGTTCAATTTGGGACACACAACCTGCAGACACAATTCTCATGGTATGAGTTTTTCTTAAAAAAACAAATTAACTGAAAATGAATGATTTCAAAGAGAGAGAAATAAAGAAAAAAATAATAAGAAAAAAAGAATGATCCCATATAGGAAAATTACTTTTCATCCAATTTCTGTGCTCCCATCGTCAAAGAAAAACAAAAGAGAGAGAAAGGATAAAGAGATGTACGTAACGTATATTAAAATAGTTATATCATGTTTAATAAATATTTAATTTTTTTATATTTAAGTTGAATTTTTTTATTTACTATTAATTAATTTAAAGTTTGATAGTTAAAGTGCCATCAAAGTTAAGATTATTTTCTGTTGTGCTTTTGGAATTTATCAAGTAATAGATTCTTTCTTTCATCTCCGGTTACATATAATAAAAGTCTATTAAAGTGATATTATCCATTTCATTTATTGCTAATTTATTTTATGTTAGATACTTAACAATGTATAACTAGAATTTAAGTGAGGGCCAGGCATAAACATTGTGACAAAATCTTGCAATAATATGAAAATAAATCTTCCTAACCTCCGCCAAAAAGGAAAAAACTTAATATATAATAAACTGACCTTATCGTTGAAAAAGGTCGGAGCATTATTGAGGTCCCCTTCGCTTCCTTCGCCAATCGATTCTTTCTCCTTGTTTCTTGAAAATGAAGAAGCAAATGTAGTCATTTTTGGACACTCAACTATCCTAACTTTTTCCAACAATGGAAATTCAAGAGCTCTACTTCCCAAATAAAAACATGTGAAGTTGGAACATGACTCAATTTGAATGGAGCGGAGATGGGGAAATGTGAACTTATCTCCCGTTTCTTCCTCTTCAACTCCCTTTTCCCCTATGACTTGTTCCATGGTACTGCATTGTTGTACTACTAAACTGCGTAGTCGCTTGAGGCTGGAAGCCATAGAGGGGGTAAAAATGTATTTCAAGCTGCTACAATTACAAACTTCAATACGTAGAAGTTTTTTTAAGTCCAAAAATTCTCCAGGGTTCTTATTCCACATTTTCATCAACCATCGAAACTCATCTGACAATTTCAAATGATATAGGCCACGACATTCAACCTAATAAATTGCACTTGTTACACATTGTACAAGATTGAAATCACAAATCAATATATATATATATAAATATATAGATATATATACTAGATTAACACTATATTTTTACTAAAAATAAATTGTAGTGTTATGTGGTAGGTTTTATAACACTGGCAACAACTATAAAAAAATTATTGGCTTTAAAGATATTTTTAAAATGAAAGAAAGAAATAATGAGTTTAAACTTATTAGATAATACCATAGGAAAAATATCTATAAGTTATTTTATCAAGTACATAATATTTTAAATCAAAATATATGATTTAATAATACTAATAATAATATGAATTCTATAAATTATATTTTTATAACAATATCGGTTAAATGATGAATTTTTTGTATGACTTATACTATATATATAATTAAGTGTTCGTTGAATAAAGAAATTACTTCATTTTAATTAAAAAAGAGTTCAAATATTAAAATTATATTCATTATCAAAATTTTAAAGTCTAAGATTTAAAACATAGTTACCTTCAAAATATAATATCTTTTGATATTTATCTAAAATAGGTCATATCTTATTAATTTTAGAATTATTATATTTCATTATTTAAAGAACAATATAAGAAAACTATTTGATTATGATAAGATATACCTTTAAGTAAAGTGTGTTATTTAAACTCTTATTATAACATATTTTAGTAAGTTATGCATATTTAGTGGCTTTTTAAGAAATCAATAGTCGATATTAAAAGTAGTTTTAGTTAATATCTCTTGTAAATATATAAATAAATATCATTGATGATTATATCGAGATATTAATGGTTCTTGATTGCTTCAAATCCTTTTTTTTAGGATATATTTATAAATTAATATTTTTTAATTAGTAAAATTCATGTAAGTATGCATTTTTTACTATAAAATGAAACTACAAAATGATTTATATTTCATAAATAAGTACATATAAAAAACAAAAGTAAGTGATCATGAAAAAGAAAACATTATATATTTACTTTATTTCAAGCAACAAAAACTTTATAAGAACATGGTTTCTAATCAAAATAAATAATTTAAATTTTCAATAGCAAATAAATGAAAAAAAAAAGATTTTAAATGAGTTCATCAATGATTGATTACCTTAAAAATTTTTTATATTGAAAATGAAAATTCACTACAAAAAAATTAAAAGAAAAAGCCTCAGAAAAAGCATTAAATAGAGAGGAAAGGAAAGTAAAAAATTCAATTTGATTGTGATAAAAAATAATTCTCTAAAAAAAATTTAAAAAAATATATAAAATATGAATGAAAATGATGACCTAAAGCCAAAAGACTTAAAAGAAAAGTTCTAAAAAAAAGTCAAAATAGAGAAAGATTAAATATTTATTCTTTATTGAAATTTTAATTTAAAATTTTTGTTATATTTATTTTTTTTAAACATAAATTTATATTTTCAGTTTAATTTAGTATGACGATGGTTATTTCAATTTTATTACTATAAAGGTATTAAAATTATTTTAAAATATTAAAATTATAATTCGATTAACAATTACGTGCATAGCACATGAAAGAAAACTAACGAATAAAAAACTATATATTTAATGTCAAATAATCATTATTAAATAAATAAATAATGCTACAAATTGAAATATAAATTTGTTATTTTTTAAAATTTATAAGAGTATTTATGTTATTCATTTTAACACTTTTAGATTTAAATTTAAATAACTAACTAGTAAAAGTTATATATTTAATGATAAATAATCTTTATTAAATAGATAAAAAAATGTTAAAAATTTAAAGATAAATTTGTTATTTTTTAAAATTTATAAGGATATTTATGTCATTCATTTTTAATACTTTTAGAGTTCACACTTTTATATATAGATGATACATACTATTAAAGTTATCTTCTATAGGAAAATAACACTTAATTGAATGGCATCTCACCTATCAAGGGACCAATTGATTGCCATTTAGTATTTTTTTAAAATTTCATTAAAAGTGTTGAGAGAATTCAAAAAAATTTTAATAAAAAGTTTTATTTTATTATTTATTATTAAATAAAAATAAAAATATTAACAATAATAAAATAAAGAAATGTAAAAAGACATAAAACCAAAAAAGAAAAAAAAATAAAATTGAAATCAAAACCATTTCATAAAATTTATTATTTTTGCAATTTACTTATTTTTCTTTCTTTTGTTCTATACATTTTTATAAAAATGGTTTATAATTTAAATTAAATTGGATATCATACTTTTGATTAAATAATTTATAATTTTGAAATTATACAAAATTACAAACATTGCTTTTGATTAAATAATTTATAATTTTCAAATTATACAAAATTATAACACTCACAATGTAGTACAAAAGGCAAAGAATGATAGTGTGACTAACCTTCGACTTTACACCCTTTGCATGACTCTTTTGAAGAGGTTCCAACACACCAATAAGATAATCTTTCGCAACAGGTGCCCTGATTAGCTGGCAAGATATGGCAGCGATGAGAATAACTTTGCCGTGGGAGATATGTTTGTTGGCTCTTATTTTATTATCTTTAATGATATTCCTGGATGTGTTTCCCCTCTTTTATTAGCTGAGACTAATGGGATTATTTTGTACCATATTTCGTTTTAATCTTTGAATGAATGCTCGCTTTCCAGATTAAAAAAAAAAAAAGCAAAGAATGAAAATATAATCACAATATATCAAACATTAGATTCCAATATTCTGGGTGTGAACTAAAATTATTTTTTATTATTAAATATTTTTATCAGATTATAAATATATTAAAAAGCAATAAAAAATTAATGCATATATCTTTTTAATTTCTAAAACAATTGAAGGATGCAATATTTCAATTAAAAAAGTAAATTGCAGAATAGATTGTAGGAGGAGGAAGCATTATGAGTTAATTCATACCTTTTGGGTGTGCAACAGTTGTATGGTGGTATTGAGGTCACCAGCCCAACGCTCTCTGTCAAGATAAAATGATTCTTTTACTGTCTGTAATTGTGGTGTGCTTAAGACTCCCTGGCAAAATATCTTCAAACTAGGACACTCTATCACAATTAATTCTCCCAAGGATGGAAACTTGAGAGTGTGATTCCCTGTACAAAAGCTTTCAAGGTTCAGTAAATCCTGGAGTTTTAAATATTCCAACTTTCTGAAAGTGATCTCATATGTGGCTTCATCATCTCCTTCTGAGTTTGCAACTATTTCTTTCATTATTTGGCAACGTGCCATCCTCATTTCTTTTAGATGCAACAGATTCTGGGCAACTGAGGGTGTAAGTAAGTTTATCATCTTGCACTCGTCCACTTGCAAAGTAGTGAGATTTTGAAATGATGACGAGGAGGATCCAAAAGTTATCAAATCAGAACACCACCTAACTTCAAGAGTTTCAAGATTAGGAAAAATAATGTGGCCTAGCTCTGAATATTTCTTCCATATTTGTGTAACATTTTTACACAAAGTCAAATTTAACTTTTTAACTCGTGAGAGTACAGCATCCGGCTTCTCACCAACATCTTCTCCATAACATATTAGAATTTTGAAGTCCAAACAGTTAAGATGAAGATTTTCCACCTTGCACAATCTTTGGAGGAAATTAATTGGAAACCTAGCAGATGGGGGCACCATAGAAACTATTGATAACCTAGCAGATGGGTCCACCACAAACACTTTTATCCGGTGAAACAAGTCTACTAGAAACTGGCCATCACACATCATTGCAATTTCATCAAGTTTTTGTAACCGCAGTTCCTCTAATTTGGGAGTCACCTTAGGAACCAATTAAATAAAACCAAGTCAGACTCAATGTTGCTCTACCAGATTGAATGTGGTTAAATATTTTATAATTTCTTCTGAATCAAAACTGAAAGAGCTTACTTGACCAATAATAAAGTTCCATTTGTCCAAAAAAAATACCAACTTAAATAATTTATAAGTGCTACGTCTCACATTAAAAAAATAAAAATTTTGAAAAAAGAATAGTTTCTTATTTTTATTTTTGAATAAAAAATGAAATCAAAATTCCAAAAAAAAAAAAGAAAAAAAAAAGCTCAAAAGATTAAAAAAAGGGAGAGTCACGGAGAAATAGGGGGAAGGAAAAGGAAACGAGAGAAAGAAGCTGAAGGAAAAGGTGGTCAACTGCCAATTTACCTAATTCATGGCAAATCGACAACCAATTGTCACGTGACTACCAAACCGGCATCTGATTGCCTCTGGCATACCAGATCGGTGACTGGTCAAGTGACCCTTTCCTCTTTCTCTTCTTTTCCTATCTCTTTCGTTTCTATCCATACTTCTAAATTTCAAGAATGCTTCTCTCGGTCAATTTTTTTTTTAAATTTCAATATTTTCTATTTTTTTAGAATTTTTTTTAATTTTCTTTTTTATTGCCGAAATGGAGTCTCCAAATGACATAACACTATACATGTAAATTTACTTTGCATTTCCACATTACTGGCCATTTATTAATGCATTTCCTCATGTAAATTATTGGCCATTTATTAATGACAGTTTATTATTGGCCATTTAAGCCACATTAGTATTTTTGTTAACAGAGTTAATTTGACTTATGGAATGCAAATTCATATATTTAATCATGAATTTTTGTTTTATTTTTTAATGTATCAATCTGACAAAAATATATAGTTCAGAAATGAAATAAATATTTAATTTTTTTTTTATATGGATAACCAATTATATTAAAATGCATTATTAAATGTGTTGACAGATATGAGAAAAGCAGGAAAAGAGTGCAAATTTATATGAAATTGAAAATACTAAAAGGGTTTGTAAAAGACATAGATTCGTAGATGAGGAACAATCATACCTCTTCAACCGAGAAATGTTGCTGTGGAATTGTAGAATCTCTTTGGCCATTCCCATTCATTTCTTGGGTGCTAATTAGACGTTCTAAAGCTACAATCTTTAGTAAAGTAGAACAATCTGTCGTCGATATTGTTTTCAAATTCAGCCAGACTATTGTATGTTGCCCTTGATAGAAACATTTGAGCTTATTTAGGGTGATAACCTGAAGGAAAGACACTTGAGGAAAATCAAACCTAATGGGCTGTTCCAATCTTTCCCCTGCCGATACAATCTCCTCGACTCCACATTTCAATATTGTTAGACATTCAAGTTGAGGAAGGTCCTTGGCTATTGACACTGGAAATAGACTTTTCAGACTCGTACAACCCTCAGCTCTTACTCTTCGTAGATTTTGGAAGTTAAGAATTCCAAGGGAATAGTTATTCCAAACATGCTTCAATGCCGGTAGCCAGGAAATGTCCAATTCTCTCAGTTGAGAATATTCTACACCAAGTGTGTCTTCGATATTTAACCCTCCAAGCTCAAATATCTGTTCTAGTGAATCACAGCAGAGCACAAAGAGCTTTTCTAGACAGTGAAATACTCGCATGGTGGCAGAGGAAAAAATAGTCAACAATTGATCACAAAACTGAACATTCATTTCTTCTAATTTGCAGAAGGAACCTGCTAGAAGCTCTTTGTGAAATATCATCTTTACATTTCTCATGTTGGAGATGTTCATCCTTTGCAAGCTAGGAACTGCAACCTATATATATATATATATATATATGTATAATTCAACATGCCGATCTAGAGTTAGTTCATAAAAAATAAAGGCAAAAACGCAAGGAGAAAACAAAGCAAAGAGAGAGCATAATAATTGTAAGAGTGAAAAACTAATTCACCTTCTTATTGAAGAGAGCTGGTACATCGTATTGATAATTCCCCTCCATTTGGGTTTCATTAACGAACTCATTTAATTTCGGGCATTTCTCAATATTCAGCACTTTCAAGGATGGGAACTCAATATCATAATTCCCTGAGCAAAATTTGATGAGATTCTCAAGATCGCTTATTTTCAAGGAGTTCAATTGAGGGAAACGAATCACATCTTTCTTTTCTTCTTCTATTTCCTCTGTAACTATTATCTCCCTTAAACACTTGCATTCCACTATCTCAAAGTGTTGGAGCTGCTCCAGACTTCTTGCAACAGAGGGTAATAACAGATGTTCCAAGTTCCCACAACCCTGAATGATCAAGCTCTTCAAATTCGGAAAGGAAAAACATGTATCTGAAGGCTGGTTGTGCCATATCCTTTGGGTGTTAATTGAGGACAATTGCAGGTTTTTCAATTCAGGAAATGCTATCTGCACACATGTATGTATTCTATGAGTAATTGTTGGAATATGAACTTAAATTTATGAGTTGAATTATAATTTTATTTATAAGAGAATTGTAAATGTACATTATTAGAAGTCTATTCCTAATACGACTGTGATTTAGGTTATATAAATAAACAGATATGGTATGAATTCCGTTAGCTAAAAGTTTTTTATGGTGCCATTTGACAGCGAATTTTAAAATGTTAGCATTTTAAAATACACCAATTCAAAATAAAAGAATTTGAAATTGCATTATTTGGATAATTATTCTTAGAATGAAATTTAAATATTTGAATCTCGTGAGATAAAAAATAATTATAATAGAAAAATAATCATATTAGATAAAAAAAACAAAATACAAAAAAATATTTATGAAATATGGATGTCCCTAAATTTGTCAAAATATGTAAATATTACTAACAATATGAAAATTTTAAAAAATAAAATTTATAATGAGTTTTGTAGTTAATATTAAAAAAAAAGTTGCATAAAAAAATGGAACATAGTAAATGTTGACTTTGTGCTATAAAACCGAGGAATTTCACAAATTCATCTTAAGTGAAATTTGAAAAGAGAATTTGTGCCCTCCAAAATTCTTTATTCAAATTCCAAAAACTTTAAAATTTCAATTTTTATTTAACCCAATAAGGTAATTCTATTTTAGAATTTTTAAAAAATTTTTACAAATAAAATATCTTCTTAAATCCCTCGTCCAAATGCACCGTTATAATCATTTTTATCTAATTGCTAAGTAATCAAAAATAACCATAAGAATTGAAGTCATTAAATTTATGGTCAGCTACCATATAAAAAAAATCAAAGATAAAAAAAGTTATTAAAAAGTAGATTAAAATGTAAATCTTTAATAGTTCATGGCACAAGCATCCATAAATCAATCTTGAACATTCATATTGATAATGGAATATGTAATTTTAATCTTATTGATTTTTGCATAATATATAGAATGATCTAAACACCTACAGTACTTATCAAATTAAAAATTTTACTTTATTTTATCTCTTAATAGAAAGTTTTATGCTTATAATAAATTGATGAATTAACTAAAGTTTTAAGTTAATAACATATGTGGTCTCCAAATTTTAAGTTAAATTCTATTTTGATTTATAATTTTAAAAAAATTTTAATTAAATTCTTAATTGTACAAAATTTTTCATCATTCCAGTCTTTGAAATTATCTAAATTAATAAAAAATACTAACTGGACCACATGGATGGCACATGATTGTGTCAACTGGTATCTTATGTGGCAAATAAAAACACAAAAATAGAATTTTACTCAAAATTTAAAAAAGAAGGATGTTGTTACTTTGAATTTTTTATAATTCATATATATTATATAAAATATTATGTTTAAAATAATATTTTTTATTTTTATTATAATATAATTTATTGGTTAAATTTTTTTTAATAGAAAATCAATTTTCAAAAATTAAAATGAAGTTAAAATTTCCAGAATCTTTTTTTAAAAAATCCATATAAATTTAAAAACGAAACTATCTATTGTCAATTAAAATATTATTTTACTGATAAATTATAATAAAAATATTATTTTTTATCTAAAAATATATTTTCTATTTAAAATATCAAATTCATTTTCCTTTTTTCTTTTTCAAATATATTTTATAAAGAAGAAAAAATGGAAAAAATAAAAATAAACAAAAAATTAAATTTTCAAATATATTTTTATAAAATATGATAATTTAAAATAATTTTTATTTTTTATTATAATATAATTTATCAGCAAAATAATACTTTCATAGATTTAAAAAAGTTAAATTAAATTTTAAAAATATTTTTTTAAAATTACTCCATATCATTTTAAAAAAGTAAGTAAAAAAATTCATATTAGTTTAGAAAATTAAATAAAAAACTTCATATCATTTTACAATAGTAAATAAAAAATAAATTTATTAATCTATTCAAAAATTTATTTTCAATCCCAAAAAAATTATTTTGAATTTATTTTCTATGAAAAAAATTATATTTACATAAAATAAAAATATTATTTTTGTATAACCCAAGTTGTTACCTACAGGATTAGCAGCAGTGAGGGCGATTTTGATTTTCTCTTTTTTAGTTTTTACAAAGTATAAAATTTAATAAAGAATAGATTCAAATTAATTTTTTTCAATAGAAACAAATTTATGAATAGATTAATAAATCGATTTTTAAAATGATATGAAAATTTTTATTTAATATTTTAAAATGATATGGAGTTTTTTATTTAATTTTTTAAATCAATAAGGAAATTTGTACTTAATTTTTTAAAATGTTTCAAAAGAATTTTGAAAGTTTTAACTTAATATTAATTTTTGAAATTCTATTTCTATTCAAAAAAAAAATTTAACTAATAAATTATATTAAAATAAAAATATAAAATATTATTTTAAATTTTAAATTTTATAAAATATATCTTAAATATAAAAAATATTTGAGATAATATCATCTTTAAACTTTAAATAAAATTTTATCATGATCCCTCCATTTACCATGTGAAATGTTAGTCGACATCATCCATATAGTATCAACTGACACTTACTATTAATTTAAAGAGTTTCATAAAAAGAATGACCCAAGTATAATAATTTTAGATAATTGAAAATCTTATTAAAACTTTTAAAGATTAGATACAAAAATAGAATTTCACTTCAATTTTAAGGATCATGAGTGCTAAACTTCTATTATAAGCAATTGAGCCCTTATAATAACATTTTTATTTCATTAATCCTTTGCTCCGTATGAAAATCAAAGAACTTTGTTATTTCTACAATATCAAGATCTAACTGATTGTTATCTTTACCAAATTAATAAAAAATATGAAGAATTCTTGTTGAGTTGTGCTTAAATGACATTTAGTACAGACTCATAAAGCATGCCAAATTACATCTACAAAATCTTTTTTTGTCTCGTATATGTCATGGAGATGTTAACGTGGCAAACATAAAGATCATGTAGAGGCCAAATGTGTCATGAAATAATGGATTTTAGTTGTTTTTATGCAAAGTAAAGGTTTAACTGAATAAAACTAATACTTTTGAGAATTCAATTGGATACAATAAAAAAAAAAAATTTAAGTTCAACGGTTTTTTAGTATTTTAACCCACATAGAGCGGGAAGCATACCTATATCTATAGGTTAAATATAAGATTAAGCCATTGAATGCTCCATAAATAAATAAATAAATACCTGGTTATTGAAAAGTGCCTTGGTGCTTGTATCCCCCTGCTCCTGCTGGGATGTGGAACGCCTCCTCCCTTCGGAGCTAAAGCTAACGAGTTGTGGCAGAACGAGGAGTCTCAGGGACTGTAATTGACCAAACCCCATTTTCTCCGTTGCGATATATTGGACTCCCAAACCATCTTTGATGTGAAGTTTCTTCAAATCTGGCAAATCTTCCCCGTTGTTTAACTCATCAAGTACATTCTTGATTCCTTCAAGTCTCTCAAGATATAAACCATCAGTCTTCTTCAACAATTTTTTCACCCCATGGTCCTTGTAAATGCTTCTACGAAAATTTAGTTTCAGTGTTCTTGAGCATTCATAGTCATCGTCCCTCCACCATAAAGAATTATCTACGGAAATCCCCCATAAAGGATTACCTATGGAAATCCTGTACCTGTCCAATGTCTTAGTGAACAGGCGTTCTGGAATTATTTGAGCATTAGGAATATGAGCATGAAAAGTAGTTAGTTGATTCAAATGCTTCAATTCCTCAAGGCTAGCATTTCTTCTTTCACTGCCAGGTACTTCTTCCTCCCACTGAACAAAGCTGCCTTCCATATATAATTCTTCTAAGTTGGACAAATTGCATAAGACATTTGGTGGGATGATTATGAGTTCAGTACAAAGACTCAAGTCTAACAACTTTAACCGAGTCAATTCTGCTATCTCCCTGGGTAGCACTTCAATATCCGAGTGACGCAGGCTAAGGATTTCTAGACTCTTGATCTTTCCAATAATGCTTATGTCTTCAAGTGCACATTGATGTAGACACAACGTGTGAAGGCTTGTGAGGAGATTAATTGACAAAGGTAGCAATGGAAAATGCATTCCAGTGAAATCTAAGACTTTGAGTCTTTCTGTTCGTCCAAAGAAATTGGCTGGAATTTTCACCGAACCATCATGGGCCATGTAAAAAAAGGAAAGACCTGAACACTCCATCTCATCAGGAAGCTCCGTTGTAATGCGAGGAAAACATAAATTAATCGCATAACAATTGTTCGTTCTCTCCTCATCGGGCCACTCTTTTAGCTCCTCATCATGATTTAACACAAACATACGGTGGTCCCTTGATGCAATCGATAAAGCAACACCCAAAACAACATCATGGATATCAAACCGTTCGTTGTTATAACTATCAAGCAACAAGCAAGACGCTTTGAGATTACTCACAACTCTCAATACTTTATCTCTTGCTTCGTCTATTGTGTAGACGCGTTCAAAACATCCCAAACCAAAAACGTATTTCAACAAGTCCTGAATGAGAGCATTATGACCCATCAAACTACATAGCAAGAAAGTCAACTTAACTTCCTTACTTGTTAAATTATTGTAGCTCAGCTCTATAGCTGAAAATACATCCGGTGTTACCCCTGCGCAGTTTTCTGGTGCAGGCCTCTTTAGATCACGCAAAGCATCCCTCCATTCAAATAACCTTTTGTCTCTCAAAGCCCTTGTAACTGCCGCAATGGCGATTGGCAATCCTGCACATTTCTTTGCTACCTCTTTAGCTACAGGCTGCAAATCACAATTGTCAACATAGTCACCAGCCATCTTCTTAAACAGGACCCAGGCTTCTTCTTCATTTAAATTGCGAACTTCAAAATATTTTTGAGTATCCATCCCTGATAAAACATTGCGATCTCTAGAAGTTAGCAGTATCTTGCATCCCCCAGGTTCTTTTCCAAAAGGAATCCCAACTTCTTCAAGATCTAGTCTTGCCCAAATATCATCCAAAACAACAAGAATCTTCCTTTGGTTCAATCTTTCTCGCAGAAGAAGTGCCCTTCCAGCAATACTCTTTTCCTCAAATTTTAAACCCAAGAAGTCTGCAATTTGGTTTTGAATTTTATCAACATCAACAGTCTGAGTTACGGTTGCTATAACTACGGAATCAAATAACGAGCCTTGTACTTGTCCAGCAACTTCTTTGACTAGCATGGTCTTCCCTACGCCACTCATCCCGTGCACCCCTATAACTTTGATGGTAGCATCTTTCAGTGCCTCCATGATTCCATTCAAAACCTGTGTTCTTGACTCGAATGCTTCGAAACCTGCAACTGATGTGGGTGGTTGTGGAGCTGCACGATACGAAACCCGTTCAAATTTGCCCCGTTCGAGTAGCTCAGCAACAGCCTCCGCCTCCTCTTCAGCTTTCATGCTATGCTTGTAGCGAGTCCAGAAACTAGGACACAAGCCAAGGAAACACTTTTTCTTTGCTTCTTCTTCATCTTGCATCACTTTCTCTACTTCTTCATCGATCTTCTTGTTTACTGCAGTCAGCCAGTTGTTGACATCATTTTCAATCTTCTCCCCATTTCGTTTAGCAGTATCAACGGCGTGCTGCACTCTTTCTCTGGCACACTTCAGGTTCTTAGCTTGATCATTGAGACTCTGAACATTGTTGTCATGATTGGAAAGGTATTTGATCTGATTTATTATAGGAGCGATCGTGTACTCTGCAACTGAAGTGACAATGGAGCTAACGATGCCAATAACAAACTCCATTCTTTTTTTTTTTTTTCACAAGCTGCTTAAAACAAACGAAAGGAAAACAGAATAAATGATTAAAGAGAAGAAAAAAACGAAAAACAAGGGAAAATTGTAAAGTTTTTTCCAGTGATGGATCTTTACCGATGACAATGAAAACGAAGGACAGTCACTGAAAAGATTACCTTACCAAAAAACAATCAACGAACAAAGGAGCAATGGAAGAGATCCAGTTATGAAATTGAATTGACGACGAAGACTCAAGACTGAAAATTAAGGATGCTGAATTTGGGTGGACAATGGAGAAATGCCAGAAACAGCGAAGAGAGTTATAATGCACAAAAAGGTTTTAATCAGACGGTGGACTTAAGATAAATTTGACAGCAAATCAAGTTGAAAGGTTTAAGCATTTTGTGGTTTAAGATCAGAGGAGAGTTGCCAGAGGAAGGGGAGTCAAAGGAGAGAAAATGCTGTGGAAGGCGATGTCCGCTTGCAATAATAAACACTCTTATTTATACAAAAAACTGTTTTTTTCACTGGTTGAGTTTTTCGGATGTCCGTTATTCTGATTGAGTTAGAAATTATCTACCCGGTAAAAAGCCACGTCTATTGTTTTTAAGAAAATACAAAATGAAATTTTAAAATTTTTAAAAGCTTTTAGATATATAAATTCAAAAATTTTTAAGAGTTTTTAAATTTGTAACGAAAATTCGAAAACTTAAAATAATTAAGAAAAAAGAAAAAAATAGTCAAATAATTTTATTTAAAAATAATTTTTAAAAAAAAGTATGAAAAGTAAATGACAGAATGTGAATAGAATTATCCTTAGTAGAGAAATGTCATAAACAGTAAAGAGAGTTATAATGCACAAAAAGCTTTTAATGTAATTAAGATAAATTTGACAGTAAATAAAATTGAAAGGTTTAAGTGTTTTGTGGTAATGGAAACTCCAAAAGCTGTAGAATGATAATGGAAAGAGCAGGGAAACTTCTCCAATGACTTTTGCTATGATGATAAGTCAATTTGAAGATGATTATATTAAAAATTAAAAAAAATGTGATCAAATTTTAAAAATTGTGAGCATGTTTTAATAGCGTAATAGATAGTTTATTTAAATAGGTATTTTCATTAAAAATTACAACAGAGTTTTTTCTTTTCATTAAACATAATTTTCACCAATCAAATGTTAAAGATAAATTCTTTTCCATGCATAAAAATATGTAACTGTGATTAGAGTTATTAAGTGTATAGAGAGAGAGATAACAAAATGCTAAAGGGACTGTGAAATACTACTTCAGCAGTTTTTCATTTTGCTTTTGTTTTCTTTCTTCTTTCTTCAATTTTTAGATTTTTCAGAAAAAAAAAAAAGACAATAAAGAAAAAGAAAAGGAGAAAATGAGAAAAGATTAAGTAAGTATTAGATTTTTAATTAAAAGTTATTGTTTTAATGAAAAAGAAAGGAAATTTTTATTTTTTTTGTAAAAAAATAATAAATTGGACTTTCATCAAATCCTCCTTTTATGTTTTAACCATGTACCCCAAAACCAATTTAAGACATATTAGATTTTTAAGTATTGGATTTTGTTTTTGTTTAAGATTGTGCATCCGTTAAAAGAATGTATTATTTATATTTAATTTTTTAATCAAAAATTTGATTTTTATATATTTAAATAAAATATAAAATTGATCATAATTTTTATATTTTGTTATAATATTTATAATTTTTTTTAAAGTTACCATTTACTTGAAAAAAATTATAATTATGAGTGATAAAATTCTTTTAACTTTTTAAATGTGATATTAATTTGCACTAATTAAAAATATGCAAAACAATGCCAACATATATTAAAAAAAAGTTAAACATGTATACGAAGGCATGGATATTAGTTTAAAAGTAAAAATTTAAGTTCATAAGCATATCTTCAACGATAAGCAAGAGATCTTGGTGTTTTTAGGTTTTACACTAAGAGTTGATATATATGAATTTATTTTAATTTTATGTTGGTTTGTCTATTTATTATTCCCTCTGTTCCATTTTGTTTGTCTATCATTTTTTTTTTGGAATATATCAAAATTATATATATTTTTTTTTACATTTAAAATTTTTACTATTTTATATTTTAAAATTATTTTTTATGATTTTTTTATTTTTTTTAACATTAAAAATTATGAAATTTTAATTTTATAAAAAAATTTAAAATTTAAAACTAAGTATATTAAAGTCAAATTTTTTTTCTTAAATTTTGTAAAAATCAATTTACGATAAATATTCGAGGATAAAGAGAGTAAATTTTTTGTTAAGACATTATTTTGTAAAGATATTGTTTAATAAATATTAAAAACTAATATAATTTTATAAAAAATTAAAATTCAATTGAAAAGACTTTGGAGACATGTCAGTCAAAGTGAAAGATACCCTTTCATGTGGCCGACAGCCCTACATTAACAACCTAAAGTATTTTGTGGTGATGGAAATACCAAAAGCTGTAAAATGAAAATGGAAAGAACGGGGAAAGTTCCCTAATAACTTTCGATGTGATGATAAGTCCAGTCAAAAATTTCAAAATTATACAAAAATTAAGGATAAATTATATATATTTTTTGTGATTAAATATAATTTGAATTTACTTTTTGAGATTTAAAATATTATATTTAATTATCATATGGTTTGTTTTATTGTTATTTTTTTATTTTAATATTTTTTTCATCTTTAATTCTTTTTTTCTAAAATCAAATTAACTTTTTTCTATAAAAATCATCTTCAAAATGCTTTAATTTTGTTTTTCTTTTGCAATAGCTCTTTCTCTTAAAGTTAAGTTCTCTATCTGCTTTTTAGAATTAAAAAAAATAAGATCCCAACCTCCGTCCACCACCATTCTCTGTGTTACCACTGTAAATTGCTGCTATCATCCTTCGTCACCAGTGACTACCACCATAAATTAAAAAGGAAAATCCCAACGTTAAAGTCAAAAAATCCATTGTGCTGCCACACCTTATTCTACTAGTAGCGTCTCCTTCTTCTTAATCTAAAAAAAAAAAAAAAAAAAAACCCTCCAAAACAATCAAACCCAAAACCACAAAAATAAAAAATCTTCAAAAACCTAAAAAAGTCATTTCAAATCAAGATTCAAAATTTTGATTTTACTCTTAAATGTTCCCCTTAATGGTGTTCTTTAACTGTATTGATTATTTTTTATTAAGACTTTTATTTTTTTTTATTTTATATACAAATTCTAGGTTTTATATTTTTTTTAAATAAAATTTTTATTATTAAAAATTATATCAAGTATCAAATAAATAATTAATTTTTATTCAACAACCACACCAATTTCTATGAACAATCATTAACAAAGAAAATAGCCTAAAAGAAACATAAAAACAAACCCAACAATCACCAAAAAATTCATAAAAACCGAATTCACCCTAAATTATTCACACCAAATAAATTCACAAAGCAATTATAAATCTACATAATAGCTACAACAACTCATCAACAAATAGGTTTTTTTTTTTTTTGTGGCTTTTAGTTTGAATTTTTTGAAAATTTTTGAGTTTTTAAATAAAAATGAAAAAAGAAAGAGAGAGAAGATCAATTGACAGCACACACTACAATTGCATATTTTTTCAACATTTGATCCCTTGTTTATTAAAGATTGTAAAGAATTCATGCTTCTAATCTAATTTTTCTTTAAAACGTTTTAATCTAAGAAATAGAAAATAAAAAAAAAATTAGAGAAAGAGTTAGAGTTTATTCATTAAACGATAATAGTGTTAATAAAAATTAATAAAATCTCATGGATACACAACTTAAGATGATTAAGTATCATTTTTTAAATCTCAGAATAAATTTAAATCACATTAAATCTCAAAATATATTTATATAATTTATCCAAAAATTAAAATGAAAATGTGAACCAAACAAATTTTTTTACCAAATCATCTAGCATTAGTTATTAGGTGAACTTAAAAATCATTCTTCATTTTTTAAATCTACTAGACTTGTTCAAAAGAGCATATTTTTTATTATTATTGTAATATAATATAATTAATTATAATTTAAATTTACATAATATTCGGTATGAAACACATTTTATATAATTTTTTATTAGAATTGGATGATTATAGTATAATAAAAAAAAATTATAGGTTTAGAAGATTTGGATAAAAATATAAATCTTAAAAATAGATTTTCTCCAAAATTTGAATTTGTGTTAAAAAAAAAAAGCCTAGTCCTAATTTTAATCAAGATTACTTTTTCAATTATATTTACAAAAAAAAAAAATTTATCTCATGTTTTATATTTTATATGTTTTCTTTTTCTTTTTTTTTATTTCACTTTTCTTCGTCTTAGATCTACGAGGAAACACCAACCCTTTACGCCTCTCTTTCTTTTTTTTTTTTTTTTTTGCTTGCTTTCCCTCAAATATTGAAAAAATATTGTATAAAATAATTACATTATATAAATATATATCTTTTTATTTAAATTATATTATATAATTATATTATTAAAAAATAATTATTTATTATTTATTAAATTTAATATTTACTATTTACTTTTTAATTATATATAATGAATAATTAATTTTTTATTCTTATAATTATATAATATGATTTAAATAAAAAATACATATTGACATGATATAATTATTTTGTACAATCTTTTTTCTCATATCTTTACTCTGCTGTCGCTGATTCGAATGTCTCCAACTTGGCCTCTTCCTTTTCGTTGAGTCATCATTTGTTTTTATAAGTACCTTATTCTCTTCCATTCTTTTTTTAGTTTTGGGATTCTAATATGGACTTTTCTTGTATACATTAAAAATTATTAAACTGTGACAATCAATTTTTGACCAAATCATCCAGCATTAATTATTTTGTGAATTTAAAATCATTCTTCATTTTTTAGTTTTGCTAAACTTGTGTAAAAGAACGTATTGTTTATAATTATTGTATTATAATCAATTAATTAATTATAATTTGAATTTACAGAATATCTTGTATGAAACATATTTTATATAATTTTTTATTAGGATTAGATAATTATAGTATAATAATAAAAAAATTATAGGTTAGAAGATTTGGATAAAAATATAAAATTTAAAAATAAATTTTCTTAACAAATGAGATTTGTATAAAACAACAGACCTACTCCTAATTTTAATCAAAATTGGTTTTTCGATTATATATACAAAAAATATATTTTTTCTTACCCCATTTTTTATATTATTTTTATTTTTTATTTTGAACTTTTCTTCATCTTCAATCTATCAGGAAACACCAATCCTTTACAGCCTAGATCTACGGCCCAAATCTAGTTAGTGGAGTAGAATTGATCACATTTAAGATTATCTCTTTTTTTTTTTTCCTTCAAATCTTGAAAAAAGAGTATACGAAAGCTACGTCATGTGAATATACATCTTTTTTCATTTAAATTATGTACATAATAATATTATTTAAAAAATTATTATT